CACACACAGACATGTCCCCGTTTTCCGTATCAGAGACATGGAGTCACAGATAAATCAAGTCCTTTGCCTAAGGTTATTCATTAGTAAGTGAAAGGACTGAATTCAAACTCAGCTCCCTGTTCTTCCCAATCCCCTGCTCTTGATACACGGCTTGCGTTGCTTGCCTTTCTTTGTGATCTCTCCTCCTCTCCTGGCATCTAATATTGTAATGCGATCTCTATTATTTTTAATGGATGGTGGTGCTAGACTTATTTATTTCTAGTTCTAGATGTCCCTCCTTCCCTTTGGCCCTTCTTAAAGTACTTGCTACCAACCAGCAGGGTGCCAGACCTGGGTAGCAGAAACCATGTCATTATTCAGAATGTAATCCAAAGATCATCCTTGGTCCCTGTGTATTCGTAAGGGTTCTCTCTCTCTCTCTCTCTCTCTCTCTCTCTCTGTGTGTGTGTGTGTGTGTGCGTGTGTGTGTGTAGATGCCTTATGACTTAATGGTGGTCCATCTTATGATTTTCTGACTTCACCATGGTACACATTCAGTAGAATCCATACTTTGAATTTTTAGTTTTAATCCTTTCCCAGGCTAGAGATATGGAAACAATCCTCTTTTGTGACCCTGGGCAGTGGCGGCAGCCTCAGCTCCTGGTTAGCCTAGTGGGAGGGAAGGGGAAGCAGCCAGTGCTGGACAGTGTGGTGCTGCTCAGCGGTGAAGGCCCGCACGTTAGGTGTAGCAAATGCGTCTTCCACTTAGGATGTTTCCAGTTGACGAGGGGTCTGTTGAGCACCTGTGTTTTCATGCACGTATGTTTATTATAAGGAGTTGCCATGTGTGATTATGGGGCTGACCTGTCCTGGGAACTATGGAGTGGGTGGGCAGGCTGCAGGCCCGGCAGTGCCAATGGCATAGTTCTATTAGTGCTGTCAGACTGGAGACCCAGGAAGAGCTGACATTTCAGTTGGAGGCCAAAGGCATGAACTTACATCCCAGCTCAGAGGCAGGCAGGCAGGCAGTGTTTAGATAAAGCTTAATCACCTTGGGGAAGGCTGTGTGCTTTCCTGAAGTCTGCTAACTTAAATGCTAATCTCTTCGAAAAACACCTGCACAGAAGCACCAAGACTAATGCTGGACCAAGCATCTGGGAACCCTGTGGCCCAGTCACCTCTCTGCATACAGTTAACAGTCACAGTCCCCAGGCCGTTACTGGTCTGCAACACACTGTATCTGTGTCTTGAAGCTAGGCATTCAGAAACATCTAGAAAGACTGGCTTTGTGGCAGCACTGAGGCCCGTGATCAGCAGACTTGTCTTGATGAACAAGTTATAGATGAATTTGTTGAATCCAAGCAATGAATTATGCATGAAGTAAGCTCTATATTAGCCGTGTGTGTCAGGGCCAGATTTTTTTTTTTCCCAGGTTGATTCTGTACTGAAAGTTTGAGAAATATGGGTATGGGCACAATTTATAGAAGTCATCACATCCATGTTGATGACTTGTACATAAACTTGAGTATTTGGGGGAGTGGCCAAAGCCTATAATTTCCAGCAGAGAAGTACATACCACATCTCAGGGGGCTGATCATCCACTGCCCTAACCTTCTACCCCCACCTCGCTCTCAGAGGGGCAGGAGAAGATTGAACAGAATGGTCGGAGCTAGAGAGATGTGTGATCCTGGAGCAAAAGCAAGAGTCAGGAGGAATAAAACCAGGCTGAAGAATGGGGATGGCAAGATGACAGGGCCTGCCACACAGACTTGTGGTCATGAAGTATTGGAGTCACACAGCCCAGCCAGAGAGATAGGGGCCATCTGTGTAGTGAGCCCATGGAAGGGTGGAGCTGAGAGGCCTCTGACCATCTTCCCAGTGATCGCCTTCTCAGGAAAGGAGAGTCATTGAGAAAAGGGCAGGGACCAGTCCAAGATAATGTGCCCTTAAGAACAACCAGCACATCTGCCAGCCACCAAGAAATTGCAATCCTGCCCTTCACTAAGCACGGTGTCCTCGCCAGCGCTGGGCACAGCTTGAGTGTTGGCTTTTTCCAGCATCAGCCTCTCTCTCATTGAGATCTGACATGTGTTGTGTTGTGTGTCATCGCTGGGGACAAATCTGTAGACTTAAAAGGAGAAAATTTGCAAGTCTTTGAGAACTAAGTTTGGGTGAAACCATTTGGAAATGGACACAGAGTGTGAAGAGCATTTCCAAAGCACGTAATCAGAGAATTTGATTCCACATGAAATATAATGTACGAGCATGTGAAGTGTGGGACTTTGGAAGGAGGAGGTGGGGAGCATGAGCAGTCCTTGTGTGAAGCCCGCCTTCTCTGTGTTGCATGTGGATGAACCTGACCTAGCTAAGGCTGACGGGGAGAGGATCAGAAATGCCACATATCAAAGTGCCGCTCAAAGGAAGCCAAGGGTTTGTGGGCTACTTGCTCCCACGTGCCACTCACAGGCAGCCCTGTGTTCAGAACATGTGAAATTACGTTGTCAACTCATCTTACCCATGATGTCACCCACCCATTAGGAAGAGGTTGTAGCATCTCATTGACACCAAATGCCTCCCCATGGAAGGCTCCATGCTTCTTTCTTAAGCCTCCTCTTATAGGTTAGCATTTATTGTGTCCCCATTTCACAGGAGAGAAAACTGAACCTCAGAGCATTTATGCAACACCTCCAAACAAACACATAGGTCCCCTTTGTTGTTAGTTATCCACAGTCCCTGGGATCCTACTGAGTTTCCCGAGCTTTCTGGGTTCCATTCTAGAGCACGTGTGGAAGAGTATGGCACGCCAAGTGCAAAGGCACAGAGAGCCTGGTTTTCACTTGAGAGTCTGTTTCCTCATGTGTAAGGGGAGTGCTGTTGCCTTGTGCTGTGACCTTAACCAAAGGTGCCATTGGCATGACCCACGCAGCATGGGGAGGCAGTGACGTGAAGCGGAACTCTCTACTCCCTGATGGAAGCTAGATGCTCCAGGGTCAGTGTTCGTTGAGAAAACACAGTTGCTAATAGCTGCCTACTGTTTTTCTTTCTCTGCAGAACTAATTTGGTTGTACCAAACAGAGAGATGAGTTTCAAAAGCTTGGGTCAGTGCTTGTCATTGGCCATCTCGGGGACAAAGCAACCCTCGTCAACCTGTGATTCCACATCCCTCACAGATCCTATCCCTGCCTTTGGTGCCTGGTCCCAAGCAGTGGAATTCAATGAATCGTATTTGTTGCATTGATGGAGAGGACCAAGAGCTCAGGCGTTTAACCCTAAGGTGATTAAGAGGAGGAAAAAGGGAGTTGCATTTGTTAAGGCCCAGAGATACATCAAAAAGCCCTGGGCAGAGGCCGGCGCAGCACAGGTGAAACCCGCCGGCTCTGATTCATCACATTCTTTGATCCTCAAGTTTTGTGAGTCACAGCGACTCTCTGGGACAGTTTGGAAGCTCAGTGGGATCTGGGCAGGAAGGAGAAAAATTCAGACTATGGAAAAAAGAGGAGAGGATTTTCTTTCTTTTTTTAAACAAGCAGCCGAGAGGGTAATTTTCATTCTTTGCCATTGGTCTCGGAGACTGCTGCACGTGTAGTGGGATCCTGGAATTTCTGCTGGGTGGGAACAGCAAGAAGTGCCAGCTGGGGGCACCTGTTGTGTTGATGCAGCTCCTCACTGTGCATTGAGCACCTGTTGCATACAAGGGGATGTGCTAAGTATCCTTGGGTGATGGGGTTTTCGTTTGATGTTTAAATGGTCTTTGGCACCCTGCATTGTTTGAAGGTTCAAGTGGTTGTGAATTCTGAGCTGCTGTGTGATGTCCAGAGGTCTGCATCTCCCTCTATGTGTCAGCTTCCATCATGGGGTCGATGTTCTATGGAGTGTTTGTTGCTAGCTCTCTGTTTAATGGTAACGGGCCGTCTGGGAAAACCATGGGTCTGGTCATGCTTCTGTTCTCTTATTCCTTCTTGCTCTTCATGGTTGTATCCTTGGCACTGATACATGTTTCTCCTCCAACCCCAACCCTATGTTTATCAGATAGTCTATCTGACCACAAAAACAATTAAGACTCTGCCTTTAGGGTTGGGTGTTGTGGCGCAGTGGGTAAACCCACCGCTTGCAACACCTGCATTCCATATGGGTGCCGGTTCGAGTCTTGGCTGTTCCACTTTGATCCAGTTCCCTGCTAATGGCCTGGGAAAGCAGTAGAAAATGGCCCAAATATTTGGGCCCCTGCACCCGAATGGGAGACCAGGATGGAGTTCCAGTATCCTGGATTCATTCTGGCCCAGCTCTGGCCATTGCAGCCATCTGGGGAGTGAACCATTGGATGGAAGTTTCTGTCTCTCTCTGTCTCTTCTCTCTCTGACTTTCAAATAATCTTTTAAGAAATATTCCACCTTGTAATACAGTTCCCCAAATGCAGCATGATAGACACATGTTTTCATAGTGCTATATTTCAGATGACTGCTGAATTTTGCTGAAAGATATTTTACCTGCAAATGGAAAAGGGTTCCCCCTGGAGTGAATGGTTTTAAACAGGGATTTGAGAGCTAAATAGGAGTTCACATAGAAGGAGCTCAATAAACTTAGCCATGATTGTTATTTCTCCTTTTTATATCTTGACTTCCTTCTTTTGTTCTCTTCCTCCTCCTACTCCTCTCCTCCCTTCTCCCCACCTCCACCTCCCCTCCTTCCGATCCATCACGCTTTATTGCTAAGAATGTCTACCTAAAAACATGGCAGGCGGGAGAGGAAGGCAGTGCACTTAATTAGAAGCGATTATATTATGATTGTCTTCTCTAAACTGCATATTAGTTTTTATTACCATAATAAGTCATTGTGCTCGCAACTTTGTTCGCGGTTCAATCTGGATGCTTTTCTCTGGGACTCCCGTTCCATCTGCTTTCTCTGAAAACGGAGAAGTGATGGGAGCCTGGCTGTGCAGCCATGGATGTCTGGGGGGGCTTGGGGGCACTGGGGCGTGGCTCACTCCTGGTTAACCCTCCCTTGGTTTTTCCCACCCGCAGATGGGAAGCCGGTGTCTCTGTCTCCGTTGGAGTCCCAAGCGCACAGCCCCAGGTACACGGCCGCCAGCCAGCGGGAGCGCGAGAGCCTGGAGGTGCGTGTGCGCGAGGTGGAGGAGGAGAACCGAGCGCTCCGCAGGCAGCTCAGCCTGGCCCAGGGCCGGGCCCCAGCCCCACGCCGCGGCAACCACTCCAAGACCTACTCCATGGAGGAGGGAACCGGGGACAGCGAGAACCTGCGGGCCGGCATCGTGGCGGGCAACAGCTCCGAGTGTGGGCAGCAGCCGGTCGTGGAGAAGTGCGAGGTAAAGAGCCCGGGGGGCCCGCGTCCTCACCAGCCCTTGTGGGCGGGCACCCACGGGAAGCACAGCCAGGTGCCTGCAGGGAGCTGGCACCTGGACTCAGAGCTGTTAGCTAGAGCCTGCCCTTTGCTGCTTTGCGGTTTACTTGGATGTGTGCAGGGCTTCTCCGCCCACTTGGCTTCCCCAGGGCCTGGTACTAAGACTGTAAAATGTGCATGGTACACTTGGCCTGGTGGCTTTATCGTGTAGCCCCCTCGTGCCTCGTTTTCCCTTCATTCTATGAATAGTGTCTGTAAGTTTGGACCAAGAACCTGCTGTTCATCTGAAGTAGTAGCTTGTACTTTTAAAGCTTAGTACCACTGGAACTTACCCACACTCCTCCTCTCTGCCCCACCACCTTCAAATGCCTGTGCCCATGCTCATGAATACACACGTGTATACACACACATGTGCATATACACATGGGCACACCTCCTCCAGCTCTCCGGGTTTCTCAAGCCTGGTTGCAGGATGGCTTGGCCAAGAGGTGGACAGAGGTGAATGAGGGCTACCCAAGGAGGAATATCATATGAGTAGGGAAAATGTGTGACGTAGGCCTTAGCAGGAGAGAATTCAGGACTGAGATGGTCACCCAGCCAAGCCCAGAGAGCCTTGGTCAGAAAGCGTTTCCCCGTCTTCATCACTCGTTCACTCAGCAAGGCATTCACTGCTCCGTATGCTACATATGTTACGTACGTCACAGTGGGCTGGGAAGTAGTAGTGAAGAGAAACAAGACCCACCTTGTTCTCCTCTGGTTCCTACATCCCGAGAAAGGGGAAGAGCTGATGAACCAGTGGAGAAGCTGAAGCGTCAGGAGGTCACAAGTGCTGCCCCTTTGTTGAGCGCCGACCCTGTGCCGGGCCCACTCTCTTTTAATCTCAGACAGCTGCCGCCAGTGGCCTGTAGACGTGGATGTGAGAGCATTCGTGGAGGGCATAGTAGATGCCAGGTAAGACACCTGTGTCTGTATTGAAGTGCCTGGGGCTAGTCCCGGCTCCAGCTCCAGTCCAGAGTCCAGCTTCCTGCTAGAGCACGCCCTGGGAGGCATGTGCTAGCTAAGTGCGTGGATCCCTGCCCCCCATGTAGGAGATCTGGGTTGAGTCCTGAGCTTCAGGCTTTGGCCTGGCTCAGCTTGAGCTACTGAACAGGCATTTGGAGAGTGGACCAGAAGATGGGAGCTTTGTCTGCCTATATCTCTGTCTCTCTCCCTTTCAAATAATTTTTTTAAAGTAGAAAATGGAATTAAAATATAAGTTTATTTTGGTGCAACCAACTTTGAAATCCATGCATCTTTATTCATGGTACACATTTCCCATGAGCCTTTGGAAGCACGCTTGTATCACTTAATGGCTGTTAAAGTGAAAACTCGGCAGTGCTCACAGATTGGCTCGGTTCAGGCTGGTGTGGCAAGGGGCCAAATCTGGGGTACTTCTATGCTTACCTGAGTGAAGGGTTGTTTGATTTCTGGCAGGTCCTCTGTTACCAGGGCACAGCCATGGTGTTTGTTTACAATAGGTTTGTTTTGTTTGCCTGTTTATTTTCCTTTTATGTGAAAGGCAGAGAGAGAGACACACACACACAATGGAGAGAGAGCTTCCCTCTGCTGCTTTACTCCCCAAATACCTGCAGTTGCCAGGACAGGGTCAGAGAGAAACCAGGACCAGGAAGTCAGTCTGAGTCTTCCATGTGGGTGTCACAGACGCAAGTCCTGGAGCCACCGCCTGCTGCCTCCCAAGGAATGCATTCGCAGGCAGCTGCATTGGGAGCCAGAGACACAGGGATTTTGGGACACTGGCATCCCAAGTGGCATCTTAGCTGCCGTGCTAAACACCTGCCGCAGAATAGGCTCGTTTTGGATGGGAACCCTGCTGACGAGGTCAGATGACCCAGAGAAGATTTTGTTTCTCCAAAGTATAGTCAGATTATTATGACGCAGGCCCATCTAAAGAACTGAGAGTCAAGAAGGTGAAAGCTAGAACCTGGAAAAGGAAGACAGGAGAGGCACCAGCGCAGCAGGGAGGAGGGGGGCTGTGGTGGCCGAACGCTCCTCCTGCTGTGGTGGGCACAGCCAGTGGCTCCCCCCGCTCAGTTTTCTGAAAGGCATGCATTCTGTGTTCCGTTTCAGCAGTGGGCTCCTGCCTTGGATCCTCTACAAAAGACCGCATCTTTGGGAGTCCCCGTCTACAACCTGGCTGTGTCCCCAGCCTAGTAGCTATAAGACTTTGAGCAAGTATTGCCCTTTTTTGTGTATCTTGGTTTCCCCACTTACAGATTGCAGATTAAAACACAATTCCTGGAGTCAGTGTTGTGGCGCAAAAGGGTATGCTGCTGCCTGCAATGCTGGCATCCTCTGTGGGCATTGGTTCGAGTCCCGGCTGCTCCACTTCCCGTACAGCTCCCTGCTAACGCGCCTGGGAAAGCAGCAGAAGATGGAGTTTCAGGTTCCTGGGTTCGGCCTGGCTCAGCCTCAGCCATTGCAACCATTTGTGGAGTGAACAGGAGGATGGAAAAATCTCTCTCTGTCTCTCCCTTTCTCTGTAATGCTGCCTTTCAAATAAATAAATGTTTTTCACATTTTTAAAAAAATAAAATTCCTACAACATGCTGTTTCAGTTGCAACAATGGGTGTCAAGACTTGAAGGGATCTCTGAGACAGTTCTTTGTGTTAGCCTTAGATTTTGAAAAATCTCAACTAGCAGCAGCTTCACCAAGATGTGGAGGCCATGGCATGGGGGTGTCCATACTGAGGATGCTGGAGTCCTCTCTCTGTCCCCACAGTTTGCTTTGATGGACATTCCCACGGTCATCTCATGGCCCAGGAGGAGCAGAGCTTCCACTGTGGTGTCCACATTCCCGCTGGCAGGAACGAGGAAGTGGCATCGTCTTCCTGTAGGAACACCCCTCAGAGACTTCAGCCCCTGGGTCTTTTCAGATCCCATTGGCAGGGCATAGTCTTGGGGTTGCTCCTCACTGTCAGGGAGCCTGGGAGTGACTGACTGTATTCAAGGAAACCATGTTTTTCCCTAGCAATTTGAACTTATGCTGCTAGCTGTGGTAGTTGCATGAACGTGCCGGCCTCCCAAACCTAATTATGCATTAGAGTGATACATGACAAACAACCAGGGTGGGCCCTGGGGTGCAGCAAGGCAAGTTCCTGTCCTTTGGGATGCTGGCATTCCATACCAGCGTGTCTGGGATTCAGTCCCAGCTCCTCTGCCTCTCGTTCAGCTACCTGCTAATGTCCACCCTAGGAGGCAACAGTGGTGGCTCAAGTACTTGGGTTCCCACTATCCACATGGGAGACCTGGGTGGGGTTCTGGGTCCTGGCTTTGGCCTGGTCCAGCCCTGTCTGTTGTTGACCCTGTGGCGAGTGGTTGGAAGATGGATCTATTTCTCTCTCTCCCTCCCCTTCTCTCTCTCCCCTTCCCTATCTCTTTGTCTCTCCCTCTCCTTCTCTGCTGTACTGCTTTTCAAATAAATAAACTTTAAGGAAAAAGAATTGCAATCCTTTTTAAAAATGCATATTCATGGAAACTAAAGACCTACTGATTAAGAATTCTTGGGAATAGGGCCCAAGCGTATGGGTATTAAAAAAATCTATGATTCTGCGATAGAGAAGACTGATAACCACGGATTTCAGGCACCACATAAAGGAAGCATGAATTCTCTTTGTATGCGCTTTGAAAGAAATGTAGCAGTGTAGAGATTCTGACCTTGGACTTGTTCACTTTTTCTATGCTTTATTTTCCAATCTTTTGACCTGCACCTGAGAATTAGGTTTTATTCATTTGCGTTTTTTCTTTCTTTGTGCTTCTTCATCATGTTACTTGGCAGAGCCGTGAAAAGGTCTTTCTGGTGGAATTCTCCCGTGGCGAACCCCAGGTCCCATTCAGAGTGTCCTCAGGTGCATTTGCAAGTCTCGATCCATTGCCATCTTATTTGCGTGTCTGCTAAGGGCGTTGCATGGATGTGTCAATGCCGGCATCCTAACCATCATTAGCAATGCTCCCCTGCCGTCTCCATCACTCGGGGTGGGTTTTAGTGTAAAAGCTGTAGAAGCAAACAGGACATATCAGTCACTGGAGTCAAAAATAAAAGGTCTCTTTGCCCGGGATGTTTTGGCTGAGTGCTGAGGCTCTTTCTGACACAGGATCAGGGTGCAGCCACATAACCGGGGACATCGCCGTCATCTGTTGTAGTGCTGAAACTTCTCTGGGGGATGACAAGTATTTCTGAAAACTCCTCCATAATGATCCTAAGCTGTCAGCTGAGCCGGGTGGTGATAGAGACAGTGGGCCCTGGCCCAGGCCGCTGCCCTCTTATCATTTCCTAATTGTGTGGCTTTGCCATCACTGCACATTTCATCCATGCAGAATTCTGTTGCCCTGGTGATGCTGCCTCAGCCAAGGCTTGGTTTCCATGTGTGTGCCTTGGAAGTTGGATCAGACACATCCCCTTTGATCTCCTCTCCTGCCTGTGTCTGCATGGATTGGAGTCTTTTTTTCTTGCCTTTCTGTCTTGAGTCTATCCTGAGAGTCGGCTGTGGCACAGCAGCAGAATCATAGGACTGGGGATTGCCTTGTGGCATAGGCAGTAAAGCCACTGCCTGCGATGCCGGCATCCTATGTAGGTGCCAGTTCATGTCCCGGCTGCTTCACTGCTAGTGGCCTGGGAAAAACAACGGAAGATGGCCCAAGTGTTTGGGCGCCTGCCACCAACATGGGAGACCTGGATGAAGCTCCTGGCTTTGTCTTGGCTCAACGCTGGAAGTTGTGACCACCTGGGGAGTGAACCAGTGGGTAGAAGATCTCTCTCTCTTCTCTCTCTCTCTCTCTCTCTCTCTCTTTCTCCCTGTCTGTGTTTATAGCTCTCTTTTAAATGAATAAATCTTTTAAAAAAAAAAATCATAGGACCTGGAATCAGAATTTCTGAATAGGACTCTTTCCTTCGTCACTGATCATGA